GAAGAAGGAATGCTTACAACTTTTTTGCCTTGCCAGCTCACCTATTCCTGCATTGGTATTGGAGCCTAAGTCATCAGGATTTCAGCATATACAGGAGACTAGCTAACATGCCCAGCCTGGCTGGGGATTAGTGGTGCACACCTTTAATCCCAGCACTCTGAGGCAGGCAGATCTCTGTGAGTTCGAGGACAGCCTGGAAGTACAAGAGCTAGTTCCAGGGCAGCCTCCAAAGCTACAGAGAAACCCTGTCTCAAAAAACCCCAAACAAAGCAAAACAAAACAAAACAAAACAAAACAAAACAAAAAGACTACTAACCTTACGGGACTGAATAGCTACTAGATTCTTGGACTTACCATTCACAGATAGTCATTTTTACATTAGCAGGACTGCAGCCTGGAAGTATCTCCAATAAAGTTGATCATGCCATAAAGTCTAATTCTATAGAACCCTGACTAATATACCACATACATGGTAGGCGGGTGATAAGCCTGCCTGTAATTCCACACTTAGAAGGTGGAGACAGGAGCTCTCTTGAGTATGGTAGTTACCTAGAAAAGTCATGCCAGTGAAGTGTGTTTGATTGAGAGATCCTGCCTCAAAAATGAGGTAGGAACTGGTGAGGTTTCCACCAAGCCTGATGAACTAAGCTAAATCTCTGGGACCCACACAGTGGAAAGTGAGTCATGGCTACACACACACACACACACACACACACACACACACACACACACACACACACACACAGAGGAAGAGAGAGAGAGAGGGAGAGAGGGAGGGAAAGAGAACGCAGATTTTAAAAGATTAAGGTAAAAGTAATTGAGAATGATTTCAGACATAAACCTTGGGCAGCCACATTCACCCATCCACAACTAGGCGTATACTCTCAAACTCCTTTGCCCACACACATGCACACCACATATGCACACATGGAAAAGAAAAATCAGAATTGAAAGCTGACTTCTGAGCTAACAAGCAATCGTTCACAAAATGACTCACTAATAAGTTAGTGAAGCACTGTTGTTTCAATTATGTTTCCATGGGTGTGAGTCTTAGGAAACTGGGCACACAGACCATGGATTCGGACATGCCCTAGTTTGTGCCAGTTTATGAAATGAAAGAAGGTCCTCTTATATTTCACCACAGAGACTCACCTTAGCCTTGGATGTGAAGTAAGACTTGGGGAAGAGTTGTATGGGAAGGTGTGTAACCATGAGATGTGGTCTGTCCTGGTCCATCAATACTTTCTGAGAGTTGGAATATTCCACCCATGGAATCCTCTGATGAATATTGACAGTTTGGACCCAAGTAGGGTCCCCTTTGGAGACAATCAGACTGAGTATCTCACACATCCAGTGTGTTCCTGGTTGTGAGAAAATGGGAACAATCAAATTTTGTCTTACATTATCATAGTAAAAAGATGCTTCTTTTCTGGGTTTTACGAGAGCAGGGTTTCTCTGTAGCTTTGGAGGCTGTCCTGGAAATAGCTCTTGTAGACCAGACTGGTCTTGAGACCAGACCGGTCTGGAAATTACAGAGATCTGCCTGCCTCTGCCTCTTGAGTGCTGGGACTAAAAGCATGAGCCACCACCGCCTGGCAAAAAGATGCTTCTTATGTTGAATGAGGAAGACATTTTTATTTGCTTTTATTCTCAGGTTTATCTTTCTGTGTTCCTGTTTGGATACAAGGCAGCAGACTTCCACATGACTTCATTATACTTTTAACCCTGGCCCATCCTTCCTCTCCACCTATACCCTCAGCATCCCCATAACCCTAATCCTCACATTCTCATCTCTGCTTAAAACCATTCACCCACAGTATCACCACGCTCTACACAGCTTTGCCTTTGTTCTACTGTGTCCTCCAACTTTAACTCCCCATTGCTGATTAGTTATATATTCGTTTATTTGTTTGTTTTTGTCAACTTGACACAGACTAGAGTGATCTGGGAAAAGGGAACCTCAATTGAGAAAATCCCACCATCAAACTGGCCTGTAGGAGCCTGTAGAGAATAATCTTCATTAATAAATGATGTCGGAGGGACCAAGGTCCTGTGAGCAGTTCCATGCTGGGTGACTGGTCCTAGAATCAATAGGACAGGAAAGCAGGCAGAGTAAGACAGGAGGAGAAAGCCAGTGAGCAGAACCCCTGGATGGCCTCTGCTTCAGTTCCTACCCCCAGGATCCTACTCTGTTTGAGTTCCTCCATTGACTCCCAAAGCCTAGGACTTACATAGTAGTCACTGATGGTTGTGAGTGACCATATGTAGATACTGAGTCTCTGCAAGCGCAGAAAGTTCTCTTACTGGTGTAGCCATCTCTCCAGCCTGCAGTTCTTAGTTCTTATTTTGTCCATTCACATTAAATTTAACAGACATATGAAAGAAATATACATATGTGACAGAATGTGAGGCAGACGTTGCACCTTTTATATCATTTTAAACATATCTACCTCCTCAAATGGATATCCCATCTTTATGTTGCCTCTTGTGAACATGACTTTTTTCTACATTTTGAAACAGGAATCTATAGTTACCTTGCAGTGAGTGGCATGCCACAGCATCTCATAGCTGTCTAATTATGAATTCATATTGATAGTTCAAAGTTCCTTCTACATACATAATCTCCCCAGGTCTATGCATCTGTCTAATCAAATCTGAAGAGCATACTGAAAATTCAAGGGATATGCTGGGTTTATTGGTTATGACTGCACAAGCAGTCTGATTGCTCTCTGTCAGCCCATCTGATACAGGTTTTCATGGAGTACCTTAGACTTATCAGGGTTTTGTGACAATATTAGAAGAATAAAAAGAGATGGGAAGTCTTGTATCTTAGATGACTACATGAAAAGAGGTCTGTCATCCCTCTGGACCAACATTCTGGTTTTACCCTGTGATAGCATAAACCAAATTGATTCATTTTAACCTCTATAGTATCAACAGCTTGACTGAATATCATGATCTTCAGAACTCTCAATTTGACACAGGGATGAGGGATTGTGCACAAGTTCACACACCTGGAAATGGCAGAGCCAACTGGAAGTCAAGCAGTGCTCAACTCCTGCCCATCTCATTGTCTGACAATTAGCAAGCACTGAGTCAACCTCAGCTCTTCCTGACTTTCACCATTTCCCATCCCCAGATCTTGGAAAGGAGAAGCTGTTTGGTTCTTGAGAACAGCCCTGGATTTAGAAACTGAGAAGAGCAAATGGAAATCTTCAGGAAGTACCTTTCCCCGGCAGACACAGCCATAATACAGGATGGGCTGAACTAATTATTAATGGCAGAATACTGATGTGCTAGGGTCTTTTCAGTTACTCATTTACTTGATGTAGAAATCTGTGCCTCCAAAAGTGTTATAGATGTGATAGACAGAGACATAGGTATGTAGGTTGGTTGATGATAGATGTACAGATTCATCAATGTTTAGATAGATAGATGATAGATAGATAGATAGATAGATAGGTACATAGGTACATAGATAGCTGGTAGGGTCTATCTTTGAGATCCATAGCATACAACTCCTAATATATAACCTCTGAAGCCATATAGATTTTCTGTTAGCAAAAAAATGTCCTGTGCCCCCTAAGTAGCCTAAGGATGTAATCTGGTCTCCATATTCCCTACAGCAGAATTGAAGGCTTGGGATTTTTTTCAACTTTTTTTTTATTTGAATTAGAAACAGGATTGTTTTACATGACAGTCCTAGTTCCCTTCTCCCTTCTATCTTTCCCTACTCCCCCCAACTAAAACCCTAGCTATCACATATCCTTTCTGCTCCCCTTGGATGGTGAGGCCTTCCATAGGGTGTCATCAGAGTCTTTCATTTCCTTTAGGGTAGGGCCTAGGCCCACCCCCGTGTGTCTTGGCTCAGGGAGTGTTCCTCTATGTGGAATGGGCTCCCAAAGTCCACACCTATGCTAGGGATAAGTACTGAACTACTACAGGAGGTCCCGTAAATTTCTGAGGTTTCCTCACAGAAACCCATGTTCCTGGGGTCTGGATCAGTCCCATGCTGGTATTGGTATTAGTCTGGGTGATTTTTTTCAGCCCCTCCCTAACCTTGAACAGACCACAAATAATGAATATTTGTTTTAAGCTATATGTTTTCTTCTTTTTTATTCTTTCATAATTTCAAACATATAACTTATGTAGACCCGTGTTTTAACAAATCACCCATATTTGTGCCTCTTAAAAGGCCCCAAAGAACAGGCTTTGGGATGCTGAATGTTTTTGAGAATTTCATAAATGTTTTAAGTGGAAATACAAAATGGTGCAACTGACATTGGAAAAACATATAGACATTAGTGCTTTGGATACAAATGCTTCCCATAGGCTCATGTGTTAGCATGCTTGATCTCCACCTAGTGGAGCAATTTGGAAAGAATTAGGAAGCATGGTCTTGTTGGAGGAGATGTGGGTCTTTTTGGAGGAACTATGTCACTGGAGATGGCCTTGAGATTTCAAAAGCTTACCCAAGATCTCTCTCTCTCTCTCTCTCTCTCTCTCATTCTCTCTCTCTCTCTCTCTCTCTCTCTCTCTCTCTCTCTCTCTGTGTCTGTCTCTCTCCTTGCATTTTTGAATCAGATGTCAGCTCCAAGTTACTACTACAGGGACATTCCTGCTGGTCTGCCACTATTTCACTTACCATCATGAACATGTACTAACACTTGGGAACTATAAGCAAGAACCCAAAGAAGGAGCCCCGAATCTGCTAGCACCCCACTCTTCCATTCCGCCGACCGACCCAAGAACTAGGTGAGTGAGTCTCTGCCTGCTCCCGACTCCAGCCCAAAACAACATACACACCGACCAGCCCCACCCCTCCATCCCCGCCTGGGCCTTTGGGCTTGGGTTAGACACACCCAGGCAGGGAGGAGCTCCCTATGCCCCAAATCTGCTAGTACCCCACTCTTCCATTCTGCCAACCAACTGAGGAACTAGGAACTAGTGAGGAGACTACCAGGAGTGTCAAGACCATCCAGAGTTGTGGACATTGAATTCCTGGCACCCACACACCACTGGGTCACAAGAGGAGTGCACCCACTAAAAGAAGATATGGGGAGAAGACAGAATAAGATTTCACTCAACAACAGAAAGTCCAATATGACACCACCAGAAT